CCCGGTCCTGCTCTGCAAAGCTGCTCTCCAGCTGGTCAGCCCCCAGCCTGTGCTGGTGCATGGGGTCATTCCCCCCATGTGCAGGACTTTGCACTCCCCTTTGCTGAACTTCATGAGATTCCTGTTGGACCACTTCTCCAGCCTGTGGAAGTCCCTCTGAGTAGCAGCACAACCGTCTGGTCTATCAGCCACTCCTCCCAGTTTTGTGTTGCCTGCAAACTTGCTGAGGGTGCGCTCTGTCCCCATCATCCAGGCCATTGATAAAGGTGATAAATAGTATGGACTCAGTGTCAGCCCCGGGCGACACCGCTAGTGACCGGCCGCCAGCTGGACTTTGTGCTGCTGGCTGGTAGTTCAGCCAGTTTTAAATCCGTCTCAGTGATCACTTACCTAGTCCATGCTTCACCAGTTTGTCCATGAGGATGTTACGGGAGACCGTGTCGACAGCCGTACTAAAGTCGAGATTAACAACACCCACTGCTCTCCCCTCGACCACCAAGCCAGCCATCTCATCGCAGAAGGCTGGTCAACCTTGGTTTCCCCTTCAGAAAGCCATACTGACCATGCCCAGTCACCCCCTTGTCCTTCACGTGTCTGGAAATAGTATCCAGGATTAGCTGTCCTAGGCATCGAGGTGAGGCTGAGCAACCGCTAGAAGGATCCCTGGAACCTTCTTGAAGACAGCAGTGACACTTGCTTTCTTCCAGTCCTCGGGTGCCTCTCCTGTTTGCCGTGACCTTTCAAAGACAATCGATAGTGGCTTCGCAGTGAAATCCGCCCGCTCCCGCAGCACTTGTGGGTGCGTCCCAACAGAGCCTGGGGACTCGCGTATGTTTAAACGTTCCCTAGCGCTGAACCTCCTCCACCAAACGTGAAGTCTTCCTTGTTCCAAATTTTCCCGCTGGTGTCAGGGAGCTGGGACTGCTGATGGCAGGTCTAATCAGTAAAGGCCAAGGCAAAGAAGGCACTAGGTACCTTGGCCTTTTCTGTGTGCTTTGTCAGCAGGTTCCCTGGCCCATTCAGCAGCGGGCCCGCATTTCGCCTACTCTTCCTTTTGCTCCTGCTGTCCTGAAGACGCCTCTGGTGGTGCCCTTCACATCAGCTGCAGATAGGCTTTGACTTCCCTAACCCTGTTCCTGCGTGCTCTTTTATGTGCTGCTTTTATGTCCATTTTTATAATTTCTTTTGAATTTCACTATCTGAACTCTTAGAGTATTGGCTGTCTTTGTCCTTTGTCTTTTCCAATTGTTCAGCTATGGTTTTCCTCATCCTAAGTTATCTCATTTGTACAGTTCCGTTTCACCCTACTCTGTCTTTTGATTCCAGTCTAGAGGTATATAAATCAAGTTTCTCTCATTTCTTCCTCCGGATTTAAATGTATGGTATATACGATTGTAAGTCTGAATTCCGGTGTATATATGCAACATAAATGAAGAAGCAGATTTTTAGCTATTGAGAGTTCTTTATTCTCAAATCCTGAGCGTGTTGAAAATCTAGTGAAGTGAGCAAAAGCGACGTCATGCTTACAATGCGTTTATTGACTCACTGTGATCACTGAGTCACTTTACAGCAAGTCAGGTCATTGATAAATTTAAACTGGTTTGGTATATGTTTTGGCTCATTGCTTTACCACTAGAATCTGAGTTTACGTTCACCATCGCTTTATTATGAAACATGTCATCCAGCTGTAACTGGGGCACCTTTCTGGGCAAATCTGTGACAAAGTATTTTATACTTCAGTAGCTTTTTTATTGCCACAGTTCTAAACTGAAGAGGTGTAATGTGTGGTGGAGAGGTGTGAATCTGTAACAGTACCCTAAGCTAATCCAAACTTTTGAGTGGACCTTTTTCTTAAATTGGGCACATTAGCTCATCTGAGAAACTTGATCTGAATTGGCCCTGCTCTAGTGAGGTGTTTCCATACTGCTTACAGAGGTCCTTTCCAGCCTATAATCTGATTCTGTGCACTCTAAACCTGTGTTTTATTTAAAAAAAAAAAAAACCTAGAACAAAATAAATTTCTAAATAGGGAAAAGTCAGAGCTCCTAAATGAGAAAAATTGCATTTAAAAAGCTTGAAACCACTTATACTTATTTACTTGTGCAATGTGTCTTTTCCTTTAGTCTTATTCAGTCTATATCAACTTTTATTAACTTCCTGGCTGACAAACTGGGTCTCAAGGAAGTTCTGTTGTTGTTTTTTTCCTTTTGTTTTGTTTTTGGTTATCTTTGATGCTTGGCTGCATATAACTTACCCGCTCTTCACATGAGTCTGCTCATCTCATTGGGTTTGCAGGCTTACTCCTTACCATAACAGTAAAGGTGTATTGAAATGAATGGATGGATTTGTATGTAAGAGAAGTGAACAGAGTGAGTAGATAGCTATGGCACCGTATGTTTTTAAAAACTAAGGGGGAGAAGAGGATGAGCCTATTGGGGGAAAAAAGTTTTAGAATACCAGAATCTGAATGTGAGAGGAAGACTCAAGAAGGTAGAGGCATTAGTGCTGAGACATTTTGCAATGTTATTATAGGATAATAAATCCAGCACTCATTTCTGTTATGTCTTCAGGCCAGAAAAGCAATTTCAGGCTTCGGCTAGAATTACCTCACTTTAGTAAATACACTAAAACACTGAGTCACCTTAACAGCGAGTCATTGTCTTATTTACGGATTACACAGATTCCACTAACTCCTTGTATTCAGTCCGGCTGCACCTGAGTGCTGCAGCTGAACTTTTAAAACCTTAACACGCAGCATTCTGGAATACACTGTTGTAACCTTTTTAAAAAACTGCACAAATTGCTTCTTTTTATTAGTCATTCATCATCTGTAGCAAAACAGATTGTTTATCAAACGTTGTAGCACAAGTGAAAAGGGCACAGTGGAAATTTAGGGAAATAATGTAGAATATCAATGCTGACTTCCATATATAATACTTACTTAATATATTATCAGTATTTGTATTTTGGGATTATGACACAACTATTGAATCGTAAGTAAGCCATTGTAAATTCTAAAAATAGTTTTTTGAATTCTACAAGTAGAAATATTCATTTCATTATATTAAAAACTCTTGCACTTTTTAGAAGTATGGACTTGTGAGGAAAATGGTTCATTTAAGTAAATTATTTTCATTTTAAGTGCATTGTAAATGTGTTTTATGTATGCTTTCTAAAGGCATATATTTATTTATTAGAAATCTGTGAATTATAATACATACTATATATATGCCTGTGCATGGATTGATAAATATTTAAATACAGTAAGGACAGTAAATACAATTTTAGAACTATTCTGTAAGCATTTTAAAATAATCTAGTGATAAATGCAAGCTTGGTGGCAAATCTCAGTTTTATTCTGAATTTTGGTATTTATAAATTTGTGTGCTAGTATTTTCTTCAGTCTCTGATGTAGCTGTGCTCAAATATTGATATCAGGAATCAGACGATGAAAAATGTTTTAAATATCTTTATTTTCATCTCATACCTTGCTTATATCTTTTATGCTTATATCTTGCTTATAAGGAAGATAAGGATATCTTCCTTATATCTTTTTTCTTCAAATACATATCTATTTCTGATTCCAATGTGAAAAAACGCATGGCTTGAGGAAAGTAGTACAGAATGTTTGATTGAATTGTTTATATTTAGCAACTTACTACACTGAGGTTTAAAAAGCAGAAATATTTTTTACTAATGAGTTTAAAAGCTGAGAATTTCAGACAACATTTTACAGATAAATTGAAGCAGAAGCAGCAGTGGAAGAAGACAATGAATTAGTTTAGCCTTAATTAGATAATTCTGTCTACCTTCTACTTGACTATACCTCTTAAAATTTTTTTGTGAAATGTTCATTAATTGCCACTCTGTACTGTTAAAAGACCTATAGAGTGGTATGTAAAACTAGATAAGGAAACACTGTGAGGAACTGCTGATTGATTAGTCTTAAATATAATAGCTATCAATGTTAGTAATAGTGAAAGGCAGCGAAGTGTCACTTAAAAGAAAGCTATATAACCTTAACCCATTTGTGTAATCACACAAGTGAGACAACTGCTTTTGAACTCTCATTTTAAAGGGCACTTTACTTGATTCCTTTGATGAAAATTACTTTGTCACTCCCAGCTTTTATTTTCAAGTGTCAGTAGGTGTGCCGCCGTTACAGTAATTAAGTATTTTGGTTGCATAGTGGGACTAGAAGAACTGCTTCTTTTAGAACATAATTGTTCCAATGACCTCTTAGTTCAGTACATGCGGCTGTTGTGTATCTGCTTTGTCGATAATAATTGACTTCATAACTGGATGAGATGCTGACATATCATATTACTCTTGTGTTATCGGCTTCCACCCCCTTAAAAACTTATAACGTAATGTTTTAGTGAAGATTAAATGTTTACCTGAAAATAAATTTTTCTATAGTTAGCAAGTAGAGTTATTCTTGGTTAGTGAATAGTTTTAGAAATTAAAATAATTTTTAATTGTATATATACCTGTGACACAGTTGAACACTAAGAGTCTATTTTGGCATGCTTATATCAGCTTTAGTATCACAGGTTAAGAGGTGAATAAGGGCTTAGTACTTTATAAATAAGTGTCTCTGGCATTGCATTGTGTAAAAATTTGCAAAGAGATTTTAGGATAATTAAGATAACTAAACAATAAGATCATCATATCTTACTTTTGCAGAGTGTTCTTATTCTTGCAATATGTCTTTTCCGAAGCAAGTTCTTATGACTGTTAAATTGAAAAGTCATTCAAAAAATGCCTCTTGGATCTTTGGTAGTACTCAAAGATTTCTAAATTAAATGAGAGTTTAAAACCTAAGCTTGTGCATCCAGAGGACCTGTTCATCTATACATACGTTTGTACTCTCAATTTTTGTATGAGTATAATGTGTTCATGTTTTCAACAGATTCTTTGTTCCAGTTTCTTAGCAATATAGTGTATATCTAACTTCTATATAATTATTGTTTTCTTATTCATACCTTGTTTTGTGACAGGATGACGAAGTAGTACTTCAGTGCGTTGCCAGTATTCAAAAAGAACAACGAAAGTTCTGCTTGGCAGCTGAGGGACTTGGGAATCGCTTGTGCTTTTTGGAACCAACATCAGAAGCTAAAGTAAGAATTCCTGAAGTAGATGCTGTCAGCTGGAGTAATTGATGAATGTTAATCTACTTAATAGTCATGAGTGCTTTTAATTGTGTCTTCATAATGTGATACTAGATACGAAATGATGGGAAGTTTGAAAGAGTATTTTCTGTATTTTTTCCCCAATTATATGCTAAATTGGAGCTTATTCTGTCAATTTCCCCGTTAATGGTAAAGGAGATTACATAGTTAAATGACCGTATATTGAGGTATATTTCTTAAATAATTTTTTTCATTTTATGATTTCACTTTTTATATGTTTTTCTTTCGAGAACTGTATCTGCAGGTTTTATAGAAATTCTAAACAGACTTTAGCTTTCTAGAGTATATTTATGGGGCATACTTATAAACAGTACAAAACCATTATTTAACTTTCTAAAATGCTTTCTGCAACTGTGAAATACTTCATATTTTCAAAATTAATTCTCCAGACTCTTACTAAGTTCACTAAATAAATAAGGTTTTTCTATACTGCCGTAGGATCTAATATTTTAGTATCCCGGACTGACGCTATCAGGTACTGTCTTCTGTTAATGACTGACATTAAGTGTTGCTTCAAACAGGATTGATTAAGCAGATAGCTGAGATTCCTGGGAACAGAATTATTAAGTAATTGAAAGCTTCTAAAGGTAACAGGTTGCAAATGGAAAAAAGAAGCTAGAGAGCTATAACAGAAAATAAAGGAAAGGAGTAGTAAGAGGAACATGGGAGGAGACAGGAGAGAAGAGATGAAACTTGAGACCAGTACTAAGTAGAATGTTAAGAAAAAGGGAAAGTGAAGGGCCTATTCCCTGTCTTCTATTTTCTCTGCATCATTTTCTTTTTTTCGTTTTGTATCGTTATTTCTTTTCCCTCCTTCCCGTCTGTTTGCTTCTCCTTTTGATTTTTGCTGTGGTGTGTCTGTATCTTTTCTATTGAAATGTTGCCATGTGGTCCTATTTTTAGTCTGGGTATTATGACCGTGTTAAACACAGACTGTTTATTTACACAGTGTGAGAGATCCTTGTCCATCTCAAAGGTGAAAAATTATGCTGCTTCTAAATTTGCATTCCTTTGCATTCTGAGAGTTGAGTCATGACAATTTATCTACTCACAATTTATCTACTTTGTGATTTACCTCACAAATCTTTATTAATCTTCTATCATACTTAAGTAAAAGCAGTTAGTTTTCACATATGTTTTCAAGTATTGCCTTAAAATTTTTACACGATTTGAAAGTGTTTAGTAAATGACAGATCAAGTGCAGTGTGATATATCTAGTGATATATCTGACCATCTTAATGTGTGAGATAGAGTGTTTGCTTTTCCTGTCCTGAGAAAGGAGGAATGATATGTGTGACTGCAGAATCCCATAGAAGCACATTACATTTCATAAGTGTCTTAGTATTAGATACTGTCACAGAAGCTACTGAAGTTTGTTGAAAATTAAGAAGCTAACAAAACTTATACGTAACTGCTTTAAAAGAACTAACTGAGGAGCTTTCTGAACTACTAATGTTTACTGAGGACATCATTGAAGAATTTTGGAAAAGAGGGATGTATATATGTAAGTCTTTTAGAAAAAAAAAGTGGATGTTTGATTTGGCTGATCAGAGAACACAATATCTACCAATGACGCTTAGCATTTAGCAATGAGATTTACCTTCGTCTGTATTTAAACAAAATTTTGGTTATGAAATAAAGAGAAATTCAAAATGGCACACAAAATTATTACTGAGTGGTTGTATTCCTGATTGAATCCTAGCGGTTTCTGTTCTGAGTACTATGCTGTTGAATATTTTTGTCAATTAAGACATCTTTTAAATCATTTATCATACACAGTTTTTACAGATGATAAAAGACTGGGGAACTGATAGCTGATTAAGAAGTCATGTCCCACACAGAAATATCTGTAATCCCTTGCATGTTAATAAAAAATAGAAGTGTATTTCAGTACTGCCTGTGCAAAGTCTAATAACTAAGCATATAAGTATACAAAACGGGAAACTCTATTCCAGTCACCTGTAAAGAATGTGAAGGTCATGGTAGATGTTATGCACTCATAAATTCCCTGAGTGATATTTTGCTCAAGAGATCTAATATGCCCTTTGGAGGTGTAATCAAAAGAAACTTGGTAGAGATGTAAAGTTATACTACCTGTGCAAATTTCTGTTTTGTATTGGCTCTATAGCAATGCTTCTGGAATACAAAGTCTGGTCTTGGCATTCAAATTCATATGAATGTTGATAAATTGCAGAGAGCTCCAGGAAGTGAGAGGAAAAGCATGATCATTCTGCAAAAGGAGGGCACAATGTGTTCAGTTTGAAAAAGGGAAAGTATGGACACTGCCCTTAGGTTTGTAAAACGGGAACATGGATAACATAAGTCCTTTTATTTTAGAAAGCAAAGGCATACTAAAATCCAAAGGCTGGAAGTTGGAATCAGGTTCATGCTAGAAGTTAAGTATTCGTTCTTAAAAATGAATTGTCCTCCCTGTTAGAATTGTTCTGTGTACGTGAGATGGATTATTTATCTTTGGAAATTATTTAATAAAACTAGATTGTTTCTGTATATTACACTTTAAGAGGAAATTACATTAGAGAAGATTCAAGGCATGGTTATAAACAGGAATGCAGACTTTACCAAAGCCAAAATCTATTTTCAGTACATGTGAAAGCTTCCTTAGCTTTTCCCCCTAACTAAGCTTTGGCTAAATATTGTTAAATCAAGCAAAGAGATGCTTTTCTATTCAAGTAATATTTGAAAAGAGAACAAGGTAGACAGAAGAAAAACAAAAACAAAAACAGCGTACCTGTCATTTCCAGAATGAAGAGGTGTAACATCATGACTGAGTTTTTCATCTGGGTTGTATGTATGAAAAGATTGAAGATGAAAAGAGGTAAAAAGGAAGGGGGAAGCAGAGGGTGACAGAAGGTATATTTAACAAAAAAAAGTTCTTAGAAACCTAGGAAAAAATGGTGTTTTGCTGATTGGCTGGTCATTAGGTGTTTGAGTAATTTTGGTAACAGATTGAAGAGATGAAGAAATTGCAATATGCTCTGTTTAAATTTTACTATATATCCATAAGCAACTCATATGTTATATTCCTTTAGAATTTTTTAGTATATAAAAATATATCCTAATGATAGAATGTAGTAGTGTGCAGGTCTGGTAAAGGTAAATCCAGTAATTCAACAAACCTATTCTGTAACAGCTTAAGTCAGTATTTTTAACACTGCAGACTCATAGGCAGTGTGCGGGTAAAGATTTGGCTGGGAAGCACAGCACCTAGAAGAACTTCACTTTACGATAAGTCAGGAGCAGTCCAGAAGACTCTGTGAATTGCATTCAAAGTGTAATGTAGGATCTGGGGTTTCCCACTAGTTCTTTTTTGGACCTTCATTTCCGCCTCTGCAACGCAGCACAAACTTAGCATAATTAGCTGTAAACCTGTTAAAACTGCTGTACAGCTTCTTGCACAACTGTTATTTATATATAAAAAATTACTGCATATTGAAAATAATGGTAGACTGGCAACATAGACAGGAAACTGATTAGAAACGTGTTTAAGCTTTGCATAATAAAACTTTTATCTCAGTCCTACCTCTGTTGCCATTGTGATTGACTGAATCTGACTTAGAAAATGCTTCCTTGAAATCTTTTGATATGAAGCTCTTTTCATTAGGATGTGCTTGTAAGAATATTTCAGCCAGCATCACCTGCATGGATTGAGTCAATGTATCTGCCACCTTGGAGTCATATATAGAGAGTATTAGAAACTTCACTGAAGTTTGCTCTTCTGGCCTTGTGTTTTGTCCAGCTGGCTTTTGCTACTACCTATCTTCAGAAACTACTAGTGAAAAATAGACTGGTGTGTGTTATTGACTAGCTTGGGGTGTCACCACTGATGACTAGCTATGTACAAAATTAGTAAATAATACCAATTCAATACTGCTTTTCACCAGGAAAACACAATGTGCCTTACAGGAGAAAATTTTTCGGTATTCCCTTTTTAAATGGAAAACTTAGGCGGATGGATTTAAAGTGAGTTACCTAGGTCAATCAGCAGTTTGTGGAAGTGGTGACCTGTTGTGACCTGCTTTTCTACTCAAGAGGCCATGCTGTCTTCTACAAAGTATTTTGAACTGCATAAGTAGAAAATCCTATCTATTGATTCGATTTTTAATTTGTAACAAGATGTAGCCCCCTTTTTTACTTTTTTCTGGATTTTCATTTTTCTCTATCTTATTCCGTTGCCCCGCTCTAACTACTGCATAGCTCATGTCTGTTTCTGCACACCACATCAAACCTGTGTGTTATATGCTCTAAATTGGTTTCTGGAGGAAGATGACAGATGAAAATACAGTCATTTGAACTGGACTCAGATAGATTCATTTTTGGGAGAAAATAGAGTTATTTTATGACTTAAAAAGATCTGTTGTACATTTCCAGTTCGGTAGTGAGTTTTATTTATCTTACTATTTCAGCTAGGAAGAAAAAGGTACATTCAGTGTGCTGAATGTGTTGATGGAAAACACATAACTGTACCTGAAGAGCCTGTTTGGAAGTAGTCTCAGAAATAAATAATTTATAATAACTGATAATAATTTATAGAAAGGGCAGCTTTCAGGGTAGCACTGTTAATTGTTTCTTCAGATTACTTGGCAAATTCATATGAGCTTCCTCTATCAGATTTATCTTTTGGCTTATTGTCCCGTACGCATGGGCAGGACCGTGTAGAGGTGTTATGGAAGGACCCCAAAAAACTCTTATTGACTTTAAAGGAGTATTTATTCCAAATTCCTGCTTTCCTTTATCAGTTATCTTTCAGCCTATTTATTCTGCTACAATAATTTGCTTTTTATAAATTACTTTCTCAGCATGCCTTTAAGTGTTTGTAAAACAAAATGTTGTATTCTTAAGTGGGAAGTACCATTTGACCTTTTTCCATTGTTGATAATGCCTGAAAGTGATGTTAACGTAGTCCTGTACGGCCATTTTAGCTTTCCATTCCAGAAGGGGGATAAATTCTTATAGCTATTCCCACTTTACAACATGTTTCTAAAACCTCATCTTGGTATCTGAATACATTTTATTTTCATTTCATCTCAGCTCTCAGTACTCTTGTTTCACTGCTCATTCGTTGTTGGCACTTCTGGATTTTTGTGGGATTCCTTAAAAATACTAAATTCATCGGAGTTGGGGGAAAAAAAATTAACAGATAGTTGAGTTTTTATTAAACCTTTTTCGGTTACGTAATTACTAAAAGTATGACGTGGTCTGCCAGGCAGAACTTGTTGAAGCAAAAACATCAAACTTTTGAATCAATTCTTTAGAGCATTTGGGAAATGAAGACCTGAAATCAGATGAACCTTAACCAACTCAGTAGTCTGTTTTTCAACTATTTTTTGTACATGCTGACTGGGTTAATTAAGGAGGCTGATTGCTACCTAGGTCCTATACCCTCTGCATAAATTACATTTCACTGATATTTCTTATGTCAATGGAATTAAAAGAAAAAAATTTCAAGCGCAGAAATGGTGTGACTTAAACAGTATGTGATAACTTTAGTATGTAACACTGCCGTTCTGGAAGAGAGGTTAGCTGGTTCAAATGGTGGGTGGAAAAATCCTTAATTTCATAGTTCTCTCTGTTGATATTCTTATATATAGTTAAATGTACCGTATGTTATGAAAAGAGCAAGAAGTGAAAAATTACTTAGGATGTAGCATTCTATACAAAACCAGGCCTAGGAAAATACGAGGAAGAAGATAGGTAGTTTTAGAGGGTCTCTTTCAACAGTACAGCACTAAAGCAAAAGCTGCAAAAATTTCAGATCTGCCTGTGTGGCAGCAGACCAGTGGCCCGATGGGCATTCTTTCATTTGCTTGGGTAGATATTAGATCAGACTGATTATACCATATTGAGTTTTTGGTGACACTCAGTGCGAGACATAATCTGATCATGATTAAAACTGTTTACAAACTATGTTATTTTTTTCCCCAGGTAAGATTCTAGTGTACTTTCTGAGCACGATTTTTTAAGTTTCGTGTTCAAAATACGTATTTTCACCTTTGTTTAATTCAAATGTGCTACAACACCAGTGTAGTTAATACACAGTCAAAATGACTGACTTAGTAAAATGGATGCAGCATTATCTTAGAAGCTGCTATAGGATGACAACACAAAATATGTTTTTAAAAATAATTATGTAGCTTACTTTCCTGCTAGGTGCAATAAACTTTATAAATGTATAATATTGCAATAAATGCGATAAAGTAATTGGTGCTTTTGTTTCCGTCTCTGGTTCACTGGTTAGTGAGTATCTAACGTGGTATAATTTTATATGTTCGTAACAACGTGACGATGTGTGTATACAGGTGTGCGCATATAAAGGTGTTATATATACACACACATTTAAAATATATAGTTTATATAACCAGGTATATTCTGTGTGTTTATATGTGTGTGCATATATACATATGTCTCCAGCTAATGAATGCTAAAAAAGTAGAATCCCATAGCAGAGATGAGTAATGAAAAGAAATAAGCAATTGACTTTATTACAGTTTAACTTGTTCCTGTTGGCATTAGACATAAAGTTATAGGCTTTAATGGTTATAAGATTCTGTGTATATATGCATCTGTTTAGTCAGATAACTGGTTTGTTTTGTTTTTGTTTTCCCCCCTGGGTCACATCTTTCTGGCTCATAAAGTTAATAGATTGAAAATAATGTTTGTTCTTTTTTGAAGTGAATATAAGCTTCGTGTTTCAAAAATAACAGACAGACTGATCCAGTAATTCAGGAGAAGGTCCCCTAAAGTAGGTTTTATTATTATTTGACGTCATTCTGAATCTTTCACATCTAGTGACAGCTAAGTAGGTATGTTCAGATCTTCAGCCTTATACATAAAATAAGATCGTAGACCTTCTCTTCTGTTTTGTCAATGATGTTGGAGAACAAACATAGAAATCACGGTTTGATTCTAAAGTGCAGGAAGGCATGCAGAGAAAACCTTGCTTTTGAACTTGGTGTTTTATTTCACTGTGAGGAATACAGCTCCAGAAAAAAGGAAGTTATAGCACTCATAAATTATGAAGAATGGGTTTATACTGTTTTCACACAGGGAAATATCATGTATCTCAATAGCGAAAGCATTTTAATTTTAAAACCAAATTCAATGTTTAGCCATGTATATTAAAACACACTTTACATCCTGTTTAATCTACTTTGCTCTTCTGTTCTTACACTATGTTTAATTTATTTTTACAGTATGTTCCTCCAGACCTTTGCATTTGTAATTTTGTACTTGAACAGTCCCTCTCTGTCAGAGCCCTACAAGAAATGCTGGCCAACACAGGGGATAATGCTAGTGAAGGGGTAAGTACATTGACCAAAAAAACTCCTTAAATTTCTGAATACGGATTGTTTTTATTTCTTTCCTTGCCCCAGGATATTATAGGAGAGAAGGCTCATGTGATAGCAGGTTCTTCAGTTTTCTCATTTTCCTGGGCTGTTAATGCTCCACTGCCATAATTACATTTTTATCATTGAGAGGCAGGTGTAGTTAATCTATTGAAATATTTACAAAAATGGAAACATTGTGTTCAGAGATCAGTTAGTACCACTAGTCCAGAACTGGCTACTGAAAAAATGAATAATAGAACCTTTGGTCTGAGTCTCACTTTTATGAACCTGAGGAGAGTGTGTGAGAGTACTTTTCTTTCAAAAATCATGTTGTATTACAGTGCTTTAAATCAATGGGGAAATTATTTTTGTTCATCATTGTCATATAAATATTTATTCATTTCTAACTCATTTCACTGAGTTAAAGGTTGTCAGGTACTGTGATTTATTTGACTTATGCTTACACGAAGTTAAGAACTAGGAATTAAGTTCTGTCAACAAAAAAGTCACAAATTAATATATATTTTCTTCACATATAAAAAAACAATTTTTTTGGTTTGTAAATGTGTAACTAAATTGCTGTAGTGATATTATAGTTAACCTATGGTAAAAGGAAGAGTTGTTGGGTAGAAATAAGAAATTAAAAATTCTCTCTATTGTGTTTCTTAGTCTTTAACTATATTAAAGCACAGGCATACTCACAAGTAATGCTTATAGAACAGCAAAAAGTAACTGTATAATAAAATAAAAGGTTGTGATTGAGCTTGCATGTCACATTGCTAACCTTGCAATTAAATTATCACTTCAAATCTAAGCCATCCTAGGAATGGCTGAAAGAGGGCTTCTACACTGGAGAGATCAAGACGCTAAAAAGAGCATACTATATTATACTTCATTTAATATTATTATAAACTATTTGAGTTTAAGAGCTGTTGTCTTTCATAGAAAGTCTAAGCCATTTGTTTGGCAAATTTATCAGTAAAAATGAAGTCTAATCCAAACCCTAGGTCCAGATTTATCTGGATTTTCAATGATCTGCTTGCCCAGTTGAAATTTGCTGCTAGTTGTTCCTCTGCTGATGAGACGAACTTGCATCCTGTCTCCAAGCTGCTGCTTCTGGAAACTTCAGATGTTATACTTGCTCTTGCATCTTTGAATCGCTTATACATATACAAAAGGGTAATTTAGGTAAAGTATCTGGTCCTGCATACTTAGGCAGAGCTTGTGTTCCTCCGAAAGGTAATGAAAGTGAGCCATGGTTTCCACTCAGTTGGTCACTGCTCTGTATTTATTCATCTGTACAAGTTTTAAGGAACTGGAAATAAAATGCGACATCAGCTTTCTTGTGTTTTTCTATTCGATGAGCAATGCAATCTGAAAAACCTGGAAATACCACTTTTTAATGCATGGAGTGAAGCATTATTAACAAAGTAATACTAAATAAAGGCCTTGCAATGTTTGTGAGTTACAGGAGATTCTCTAATTACTTCTTTCTGGCTCCACGGAAGGCACAAAACTCACCTAAATCAAAATCTTCCCCATTTCCCTCTCAGTTAGAATTAAACTTAGCAGTAATCACTCAAACAACTTCTCCTGACATAACCAGTATCTAATGCAGGCAACCTCAGTTTATTGATGTCTACCATAGGCACCTCTCAGGTTGCTGCTGCTTGATCCGGTCTTACTAGACCAATTTGCTGTGCTTTAGCTGATTTCTCAGAATATTCCAAAAGCCTGGGTGGGGGACAAGAAACAAGAAACAGGATTATGCCCTTATTTTTCTTCCTTTGACCCTAACTCTCAAATCTCAGCTGACTAGCTGTGACATATATTGTCTATCCTTCTCTATTCTCCTCTTAATTTAATACTGAATTGAATTTATTCTTTTGTGAACAGAGCATAATAAAACTCTATGGCTATACTTATTTTACGAGATTAAATGGCAGATAATAACTATGCAAATCAATCTGCCAGAGCTAGATATTTACGTGCAGCCAGAAAGCTTGTGTTCTTTTTAGGCTGGGTTACTTTTTTTTTTTTTGAGTGTGCAGACAGTGTTAAGACTTAGTCACATTAGGTAGAAGGAAAACTTGAGGTCCAGGGAAGAAAACAGGCATATAAACACGAGTCATCTCAGTATTATCTAGAGAAACTTATTAAAAATGACATTTCATTATAATATTCTTTTTATTTAAATACAAATTTGTACTGAATTTGTTTCGTGATGAGGGGCTTCTTTTAATCTCTTTCTTGGTTCCATATACTGTGCATATGGTTTCAGTGCTTTCTTCCCTTTTATAGGACAATCCTTGAAAATAAAAGGGAAAACTATGTGGGAAGGACAGGATTTCAATGATTTAACTGAACAGCCTGTAGGAGCTCCTAAAAGAGAGAACCAAAAGAGTGTTTTCTTGAATTGCAGCTAATTTTCTTTTGAAGTGTTGTGTCTATTTATGCGGAAATCATACATTTCAGTATATGTATTATTTTTCAGAAGATCGAAGTGGCTATAGAGTAAACTTCTAATATTTATCTCTTGAATAATAAGTTGGCATTCATTCAGTGGTCTGTTCGTTGTGCTACAATTCACCATTTTAAAGTAGTTTTAGATTTTGTCTATCTGTAAAGATAGACAAATGCACTAAAGCACTATTTCAGCATTCATTATATGACAGAGAGTCTTGTTTTTCCAAGGAAATCTAAGTGTAACTCTAGCTGTGACTTGGTATGCCATAATTGCTTGTTGAAACTTTTAATAGACTATGTGCATTAGAAAAGAAGTAGGAAGAAAAATTTTGTAAAATAAAACTTTTTAATTTTTTCAAAAGAGAAGAGTAGAGGTGGTCAAATATGCAACTTAATTTATAAAATTTTCCTTGAAGTTAAATTTTCATTTGAGAACAAACAATTAGCTAAAACTTTATATCATTCCGAAGAAACTGTCTGGCACTGATGCTAGAACTGGCTTGCATGTGTTTTGTTTTGTTTTGTTTTTTTAAAACCTTGTTTCTGCAAGCATTCAAGGTGCGGAAAGGAGCCTCTCCTTTCTGAAGGGGTGAATTTCACTTTGCAAGGTGGCTTCTCACGTGATATAAAACTATATAAAAAAGATGTTTAGATTGCTTCTGGGTTAAAACTCCTCATGATTTTTCATGCAGATCAGTAAATATTAAATGACTCAATACTACTAGTTTTGTTTTTATCAGAATAACATGACTGCAGAATTTCAATTTAAAAAAATTGAGTGGATTACTCGTTAGGAATGATCGATGAGACTGCAGTTAGTACTAACCATTTTGCTGTAAAAGCTAAAGAAAACTCAATTTCTTTCCCCATAAGAATGTTTCTGCTATGCTTTATGTATGCAACTCATATCAGTTAAATTAGGAGCTATATGTATTCAGGACTTTTCAGGTAGCACCAGCAATTTGATTGGGTAAACCATAGATTTAGATAGCAATGAAATGTATGTACACATGCAGAGGGAGTATTCCTACTGTCTCTTTTAGGCCAGTTTAATCATCTAACTTACATGTAACTCAGAAGACTAAAATTAGGAGTGATGTTTTATGTTACAGTCAATGGATAGTGGTAGGAAATCTTTAGAAGAACAGTTTAGGATAAACTGCGGAAAATAACTTAAAATGCCCTAAGGTATTCTATACATTTTGAATACTATTTGCATAGTATATATGATAATGTGGCATAAAGTGATGTAAACAAAATTTTCAATAGATACATTACTCATAAAGGCAAAGGTAATGAGCTATGCAGATTATTCAGAACAAGTGCTCTTCAAAGAGCATATACCAGGAAAAACTATTCCATCTTGTTCCTATACATCATTTGTGACAGAAATGCTGTTTTACAAGTGCTGCAGAAATTTAAACATTTGTGCTGATAATATTTTATTTCTTTCTACACATAAAAACATTTATCTGCTTCAAAGTCATGTTCAAATACTTGGAATACTTAAAGACAGAGTCTTAGAATATTTGCTTGTGAAATCATACGTCTCAAGCAATTTAAAGTATGAATAAAAGCAGGCATCAGCTGTTCATGTAGTTAGAAGACGCCTATGAAAAGAAATCTTGATTTTATGCTACATCAAAAATATGTATCTTTCCATACTGGAAAATGAAATGTTATCTATTCATTTTCAGAAATGTATTGATTTTGGCAGTGTTTCTATCAGCAATTTTCTGAAATTCAACATTAGAGAGTGACTAGAGCATTGCTCTACACCATGAAATTCTCTGGTAGATTCAGGCTATGCTTTTTCATTAAAGAAGTGATTTGAACACCAGAATCTGTAAGACTTTATCCATTAAACACTGAGCTGAGAGAAGTTTTGTTTTTCAGTCCTTGCTCTAAATGTTTTTACTTGGAATTAGCTTTTCAGTGAAACAGATTTATGGCCTACAGGCTTGAAAAAAAAATTGAGAGCATCACCTTTATTGATTTAGAAATATTCAAGGAGAAAAAAATAATTTTCTGTTGAAGAACTTTTGCATTACTACTTAATTCATTCAAAATTGTTGTTAAGCTGTGGAACGAAGGCAGGTATTAGACACTGAAAGCATGTAATAAGAAAGATTTAATCATGTTAGAATTGACACAACTGTACAAGTCTAGACATTTTCCCATGTACGTCTGACTTAGGGTGAAATGTTCTGTATGTGTGTGCGAGCATGTTCATAACCATTTGCTCATATGGCAACTCCACAATGAAACAGAAATTCAGGTTTCCAGTTTAATGGAGAAGTCTTATGCATGAAGAATACAGATATTTGTTTAGTTTAAATTACTCACTTGTATGATCCTGTCCTTACTCCTCTTATTTCTTAACATTTCAATATCACTGGTGCCACAAAATTTCCTGCTAATGAGTATTTGTTTTAGAGAGTTGAGATTGAATTTTCATATAAGTATATTTAATCAATTTGAGCAAAGAAATACCAAAAGTTAAAACA